CGAACTTATCTTTTAAGGCTCACAGATCAGCAAGTTCTCAGAGACTCGGTGCTCCCTCCCGTTTGCAGGTGGGAACGGCACGTCTGCGTGCAGGACGTGCAGTCCGGATCCCGGAGACCTTGAAATCAGCTCGGGAGTGTCCGCGTGCAGATCATTCCCAGGCTGATTATTTCCCACAGTTATAAATAAAAATAAATTAAGGAAGAGTAAAAAGAAGGATTCCAGGGACATTGAGAATATTAAAGTTACAGAAGGAAGATCTAATATACAAATAATAGGAGCCCTTGATTAAAAAAAAAACAAAGAAACTGAACACACAAAAATACTGTATTTAGTCAAATACACCAAAAAAAAAAAAAAAAAAAAGACCTGTAAGGGGTGGGGTGGGGGGGATTATATTACTATAAGATTTTTTTCTTTTTTTAGTTGTTGTAAAAATATATATAACACAACATTTTCTAATTTAATGTTTTCCATGTGTACAATTGAGTGGCATCAATTACATTGATCATGTTGTACAAACATCATCAGTACCTGTTGCCAAATTGTCCATCACCATAAACAGAAACTTAATGCTTCCAAAGCAATGATTTCTGTTTTCTTCTTCCCTCCCACCCCTGGTAACCACTAATAAACTGTGGTCTCTCTACATTTGCCTATTCTAATATTTTATATGAGTGAGATCATACAATATTTGTCCTTTTGTGAGTGACTTACTTCACTCAGCATAACGTTTTCAAGGTTCATCCATGGTGCAGCATGTAACAGGACTTCATTTATCTTTATAGGTCAGTCATATTCCATTGTTTATGACATTTTGTTTATCCATTCATCTGTAGATGAATATTTAGGTTGATTCCACCTTTTGTCTATTGTGAATAGCGTTGCACTGAACATTGGTTTACATGTGTCCACTTTTGTCACTGCTTTTAAGTCTCTTGGGTATGTACCTAGGAGCAGAATTGTTACATCATACGGCAGTTTTATGTTTAAATGTTTGAGGAACTGCCAAACTGTTTCCTACAAGGGCTGTACCATTTTGCATTCTCACCAGCAATGGATGAGGGTTCCAATTTTTCTACATCCTTGCCAACGTTTCTTGTTTTCTTTTTTTTTAATCTTAGTTATCCTAGTAGAGGTAAAGTGGTATCTCATTGTGGTTTTGATTTGTATCTCCTTAGTGGTAATGATGGTGAACATCTTTCATGTGCTTGTTGGATCATACCTATTTCTTCTTTGGTGAAATATCTATTCAAATCCTTAGTCCAATTTTTGACTGGTTTGTCTTTCTGTTGCTAAGTAATAGGAGTACTTTATATATTCTGGATATCAAATCCTGATCCAATATATGGTTCTGAAAATTTCTCTCCCAGTTTATAGTTTATATAAACTATAAATTTTTCTCCCAGTTGTTAGTTTGTAACTAACTTTGTAGTTAAAGTCTTTCATTAATGAAGTATTTTTAATTGATTATTATCAGAATTTTAACAGTAATACTTTATACAGGATGAAATTTGCATAATTTATTTGAGATACTCAAGGTAAGAAAATGTGAGTCAAGGATTTTATAGCTAACAAAAAATTAATTTTAAATATAAAAGGCACAGACAAACTTATCAACTTGCAAGCAATCAGGGAATAGTGTTTCCTTGATTCTTAGAACTAATAGAAAATGAGCTTCAGACATCCAAAATGACCAGAGAAAACGTTAACCTAGTAGTTAACTGGTGAATAATAAAAATATTGAACTAAGACCAAACGAGTATTACAAGGGAGGAATTTCATTTTGTAATGGCTACATGTTCTGATATTGTAGATATACTAAAATCATTAAAAAAAATTATGGGAGAATGGGGACAGCATATGTAAAAACAATTCAATATTTCAACAGTTATTATTAACACAAAAAAACAAACAAACTTGTTGCTACTGAGTCGGTTCCGACTCATAGTGAACTGATACGACAGAGTAGAATTGCCCCATAGAGTTTCCAAGGAGTGCCTGGTGGATTCAAACTGCTGACCTTTCAGTTAGCAGATGTAGCTCTTAAGCACTATGCCACCAGGGTTTCCGAATTATTAGTGGTGGTCAAATCATTATTGTTATTCTGAGACTATTATAATATGGGATAAAGCAAATGAGTAATCATGAGAAATTTTAATTCTATCATCCCCTATGTCCTTGAGAACCAGATTCTTTGTGAGGAAGTAAGAAGGTACACATATAATATGAGACTTTAACACAACATCATGTTCCCAGAACCGAACTGGAAAAATCAGTATATACTCAAGGTATTTTATTTCTGTCCTAGCTCTGTCCACTGAAAAGGCCTAGAAACATTGACTCATAGCGATAAGCATCCCTAGCACTCAGTGTAGGCTGAAAATAATATTTTTTACTAAAAGAATCCAGGACTCCTTGGAAAAATTATTGATTCCTGTTCTCAGGTAGGAAACATGCCAAATGAGCCTGAAGCATCTTGAGAAACCAGATGGAAAAGAAGTAATGAAAGACTTATAGAGCTATATTAAACGGATTCAAGGGTCAATTTTAAGAGGCTCCCGCTGGCCAAAGATGGGGACAATCTGACTTCAATGAAGACGAGATTTGTAATTTATTGAAACTCATCAAATATACATAAATCTATTAAATAATAAGGATATTTTAAAGGATAAAAATAAAGTCTCTTCTGAGGTTGACTGAGAACCAAATTATTAACTTGAACACTCAATAAAGAACCAAGCATATTTCCTATCTTTCCTAAATAAGCTCTACCATTGTGTAATCAAACAGTGTATGAGGGGAAACATCTCCTTATAACATTATTTCAGCTAACAAAAACCAAGTGACGGAATTAAAATATCACTATTTTGAAACCTCAATGAGTGAACGGATCTAGGCATTAAGTTTTAATGACTGCTAAGATAAAATTAAGAGAGACAATCAAACATCTTCTTCCTCCTGATGAAAGAATATACTACATCCTAGAATCTTGACAAAGGCATCAAGTCTACTTACTGTTATCTAGCCTCTGGATCCAAACGCCAGTGTGTAGGAAATAGATTAAAAAAAAAAAAAATGTTGAACTCTACCATGACAATGCAATTAGCAAGATCCAGACTTAGCAATTCTATAGGTCAAATGGTCTGGATTCTTCAATATGCAAATAGTAAGTCAAAGAAAGGGATAAGGAGAAAAAAAATAAATAAATGAAATAGTAGAGCAAATAAAACTAGAAGAGACTTAAAGGATGTATCCTTTTTTTTTTTTTGATGGGCAAAACTATAGTGTTTAGAAATGAAACACACAGGTGGTAAAACCATAAATACCTGTGAGTGATGAAAATAAAATTCAGTACCATGGTTTTGGGATGGGTGGGGAGTGGGCTGTTATGGGATGGTGCACATGGAGAGGATGACAGGGTAGCTACAGAGTTCTATTTCTTAAGTTACGTC